TTGAGGTGGGATCCATCGAGGAAGAACCTGAGAGACTTTAAATAAGTCAAAAGAAAAAGAAAGAAGAAAAGGGGAAAACTAAATGAGGAATTTGACGGAGGAAACATCACCTGCTACTTCCTCAGCTCTAATGATGGAAAGTGGGATCGGGGCCTCTATCGTGACCTCTGGAAGGCTGAACCCCTGCTCGACCAGAACTTAAGGCTTGATGAGCTCGAAATACTTTTCTGAGTCACACTTCTCCGGTCTCAGCAGGACCCGCTCGTCCTCAGCACTGAGCTCAGGGCGAATACCTGCGAAACGATGATGGGAAGAGCAGAATCAGTGAGGATCACCAAATCCAACTTAAGTCAGCTCGGGCAAGGACTTACCCAATTTATCAGGGGCAGACCAAGCTCTGGGGATTGGGAGAGTATCTGCCTTATCTACCGGATTGTACTCCCACTGTTCGCTTCCCACGAAGAAGAAAAGTTTCTTCCAACCTTTGTGGGAGCTTGGGAGATCGGAGATAATCTGTTTGGCCTTTGTCCATTTGGAAATGTATAAAAAACCCTCAGTGGAAGTGTGCTTAACATTGAAAAGCTCCATCAATAAAGAAACAGTAGGAACCCCAAGCTTATGACTCTTAAAGAAGACGAGGAGACCCACTAGCACACCCTAGAAGTTAGGAGAAAATTGGGCAGGGCAGACGTTGAAATGTTGCAGAACACTCTTGATGAAAGGATGTAGGGGAAAACGCAGACCATTATCGAAGGCAGACACAAAAAAGCAGACCTTTTTGTGAACCTGGGAAACATATGGGGTGAACTTGTCTGGACACCAGTACTAGACCCCTGGAGGGAAGCGAAAGCGAGCACTGAGAACCTTCATAAGAAAAGGATGGACCTCGCTAGGGCCCACGAGCTCTGCGTTTCTAAAAGCAGCCCCAATGCCCTCGGCCGAGACTCCCATGCACTCACCTTATTTTTACCTTTGTTAGGATTCGTGGGCACAAGAGAGGACGTTGGGGGAGGTTCCATAGTATTTGCCTCAGCATCGATGGAGTCAACGCCAGGGAAATTATCAATTTTCTCACCCAAGTCACCCAAATCGACGTCTTCCTCAACAGATTTCTTCCTTAGGAGGGAGACTGAGAAGGGAGTGGCTCCGGAAGAAGCGGACATGGTTGGACAAGAAAAAGGGAGTTTAAAGGTACAACAAAGGGGAGGAATGTTTGCAAAACACTCTCTAAGAGTCTGGGGAGCAACACAACAACTCCCAATAAGGAAAATCCTAGCGGTAGAATAAGGATCTAGGAAGAGGGGAATGCAAGATAGAGATCGACCTCGGTTCCTAAAATAACAGAATCAAAAAGTCCAAAAATGCAGAAATCACCTTAGGCTTGAGGGATCCAGAACGAGGAAATGAATTTAAGGCAAGAAGCGTACCTAAGTTAGGATGAACAGTGGGCCAAAGCTCGAATTGGAGGTGAGGAGTGAACTTCGTTGAAGCCACGAGCTGATTCAAGAGAAATCAATTTTCTGTGAAACCCTAAGAACGACAGCAAATTGGAGAAGATGAGTGAAGAAATGAAGAAGACGAGTCAGAAAGAATTTGAAAAGAGAACCGTTGATTCAAAGGCATTTAAAGATAACGGTGTGAGCGATTTTTGAAGTGGGCAACGCGTGAGAGAAAAGAGGAATGACATAATTACTGGTAACCATCAAAAACCTATTCGTGCACAAATCGAGGTCTGCATGTGGAGGTCTGCCTTAGGCGAGCTCCAGTTCAGCCCTTGCTCAAGCTAGCTTGATCAAGAGCTGGGGGCAACTGATGATACAACAAACAATTCCCAAAGCATGAGCTCAGTTGTGGGATCAGACAAGGAGGTCGGGCAAGACATGCAATGCTTAATGGATCGAAGCCCGAACTCCCCTTCAAACGAGACAATAACGGGAGTGATAAGGGAACAACTGGATGCTAGCTGAAACCCTATAAGCACTCGAGAATCATATCCAAAATGAAAAGCCTTTAACCAACCAAGATATTCTCCAACAATCAAGGAGGAATCCGCGGGTGAAAGGCAAGGATCTCGACAGAGATCCCACAGATTGAGGAATAGCTCTATAAATACTGTATAATACCCCCAATAAAAAAGAGAGGGTTTTAGGAGCACATGGGACTGATTGTAAAAGGGATTCCCCCATTATAGAAACGGAAGGAGCAAGAGTCTCTATTGAAGAGTGGATTAGCCGAGCTCCTAAGCTGGTGAACCACTATATTTTTATTGTGCACAACTCCCCTAATTCCCCAGTAATCTTTACACAAATCTCATGAGCTTCGTAGCTCAAATCCAAGTTTTTAAGCATAGTCCATTCCCTCTGCTCATCCACATCAATTTACACCCTCACTTGGTATTATGTTGAAAATGTCATTATATTGCATTCATTATGTAATAAACATTGTAAATGGTACCAAAGACAATTGCACATTATATTGCACTTATGCATGAGTTGCAATACATTCATGAACATTGACACGGGTGGCAGTGTGTGCATAGTATGAAATCAATCATCACATAGATGGTTGATTGTGGGCTCGAAAAAGTCGCACCAAGATTCAGCTGAGTCGCACGAAAAATTAAATGGATAAACGTGTCAGGGTATAGCAAGAAGGGCTAGATTCTTCCTTCGGGTGTAAAACCCGCTTACTTGGTTTATACACTTTCTGCCAATGCAATTCCAGAAAGTGTAATGGCGAAAACGGAGTTGTCGTAGTCCCTTGTAAATGTTTACTTTTGACCTTGTATAATTTTTGTAACAAAAACTTGTTTATATTTAAAAGGCATGTACATGAGACTCTTTTGGGACATTTATTCTTTTATGAATGAATGCACGTAGTGATGATGATTATAATAGTATCCGATACTATGCAATTGAGTATGGATGAATGGACCCAGTGTGGTCAATGTTGTATGATTGTACAAGTTGTGTTTTGGGAAGAACTCCCCGTACAAACCAAATTTTGTTAAGTTATAGATCCCGGTAAATAGGGCATAACGACGTGGTATCGAGTTGCACGGTATCCACGGGTATTTCGTAGGTTGATAGGTGATCAATAGAGTAATTATGGACACCCGATTTTTTGGGCGTCATAATGGGTGGGAATCGAGGAGATGCAGGCCATTAATTGAAATTCAAAAATAGGCACTAGACGTGTGACCATCCCTAATAAACAGGCGTGCTGAAGAAGCTCCACTCTCTGTGCGCCACCTATCTCATGACGAGAGAAAAATGGAGGTTGGGGGGCAGTTGACGCGACATTAGGCGACTCGCTAATAGAAAATCAACACGTGGACACCCACAGTTGTCAGAACTCACACAATTCATTGCAAAGAGAAGCCAAGAAGTTATGACAAACGAAGCTGAGTGCACCCCTTGGGACCTAGCATTAAATGAGACCTTGCAGCCCATTAATGTGGGGTTTGCTGGCTTTGACAGATTATTAATGAGTGTTTGGGTCCTCGAAGAACGTGGGGATAGTCTTCATTAGGAGGCATTATAATGGCCACCATACCGACATGGAGACCTTGGGGGATCCCGAGAGTAATGGTTTCCTCCTCATTAAAGCTCTGGCGTAAGTTCCAAGCGCCGATGCAAAGCATTTAATGACTAGGAATCAAGCCATGAATTCTCGGCGTTTCCCGAGAAGGGATCCAATTGTCTAGGCAGATTAGTCTTAATGATACTTGAGGGAGTATCACTCATTATGCTAGAAAGTGAACATAGAACATTAATCTCTAGTATGGACTCAATGTTAGGGCCATCATTACAAATTCAAATATAAATACCTCTCAAAAAGTTAAACTAAGGTATACAATCTTAAATGAAGAATACTCTATGCATTACGACCTACATGCCGCTGACTGACTTGAACTTCGGAGGGGATTAGATAGGTTCACATTTGGTCTCTTTGCTAATCCTTTAATCGTTTTAGGTTTATCCAAAAGATCACTATCTCAACACATTGCTGAAATCCACCCGTACAATTTTCATACTTTTAATGAAAAACATTTGAAAAAAGGAGCAGGCCTGTGGGCCTGCCAGCAAAACTAGCCCGCCTGTGAGTTGTAGCAGATAGAGCATCAGGGCAGCCTACCCTATCCCACTAGCCAGACCGGCCTTCCCGACCCCCTTCTCGGGCACATGCTTGGGCCAAACCTACGCAACCCGGACCAAATATTTTTTTCCCGGGGCACTTGGATATCCCTAACTATAATTTCAGATGGGCGAAAAAAAAAAAAAAATAGCTGTCGAAGATCTGGGTTAGCATCAAATACTCCCTTGATTTGGCGAAATATTTGAGTGATCTCTCCACAAGGCCACGTTTCCAGTTAGGAAAAAAGTTCTACTATTCTCCCCTGTAAGAACATCCGTCTCCAAAGAATCCTTTGACCACAGAGTACAACATTCTTTGAAATATAGCACTAAGTTGAACCTTGAGCTTTGTCTGGTACCCATCTGGAGACTGGAGATTTTCCTGTCGTTTTACTTTCCACAGTGTCAGACATCAACAAACATTAGGTGGTTGTTCTTAAATGCCTCATATGTATCAACACGTGTATTCCTGCAATCCCGAGTGCTAAGCTAACGTCACGAGTGACAGAATACAAATCCCACTCATAAGAGATGAGGTATTCCTGTTCCGGATTACCTTCTATGGTTCTTTTCATCTGTTTTCAATGCAACACTCCACCTCACTCTCCCAAACAAATTAGCATTAGGAGAAAGAAAAAGGACAATCATCAACTTGAATGTAAATTTATAATCAAATTCAAGCAATATACGGATTTCAGCTGTTTAAACTGTCTAAACATCAGATGAACAGTTCTCAGGAAGACAAAGGATGGCGAGGTTCAAAGCCTCCAGACGGTGCTTATATGCAAGTTGGGGCACCGCCATGTGGGCTCGAATTATATAATGACAATATGATAATATACCAATCAAAATTTGAAATACATATCATTCAATCTCTATCTGTTGTGGTATTTCTTCTTGTTTGGCATCTTCAGAGGTGATCGCTTCTTCCGTAATCCCAGAGGCTTCAACAGTCCTAGTAACCCATTCCTTGAGGGGATCTTCGTTCAAATCAAGCCTCAAAAGTCCTGCAAACATCCCTCCCATGAAGGCAATGGGCTCCTGAAAGAGAGGAAACACGTGACTATATGCATAATCAATAAATCTCCAAAGCAACTACTTGAAATAGTAACTGAATAGACTGCTAGTTGCTCCAATTTTAGCTTGGACTAAGATTTAAGTTATATAATTACAAACTTTGACTAGAAAAATAAGTCTAAACTAACCACACAGTGTCCACACATTCTATTGCCAAAAACTAGCTCCTGTCAATATCCAAAGAAAACCCATTGGCCTTCATCAGTTGAGCCCTAACAAGCATAAAACTTCCAGTGCAACCCTACTTAATATATTTGCGAAATAAGAAAAAAAAAAAAAAAGAAAAAAGTTGGTACAGAAATGTCTTCACTCAATACAATAGCCTATCAATCCACTTAGCACACACAACAAAAACCTCCACCAGTTGTAATCTAAACTTATATAGACACTGAACAAGACACTGCTTGATGAAAAACAATTATAATCCACAAGAGTGTAACCCGGTTCCATCAAATCCTCCTCTTCTTTACTAACATGCTATATATTAAAGAATCTACCCCACCAGACGTTAGGAATCCAAAATCTCTGAACTGAAATGGAGTTCACTCCAAAAGTGATATAAGGACATCAATAAAGCTGCAAAAACCAACAAAATTGGTAGAGCCCTAAAGGTTGACATGGAACCATAAATGAATTAACATGTCAACAAAGAAAGGCTGTATGAACATTACTCCAAAAGTGTTAAATTAAGCAGTTCCTTGATAAGGTTCTGCAGCATTGACCCCCAAAAACAGTCATGTGCACACAACTATTCAAAGTTACACAAATTATCAAGCTCTTAAGTTCATAACTCATATAATGAAACTTGGGGAGAAAAGTGACGATTAAAACTTGAGTTGGAATTCAAATAATCAAGTATTAGAGTTCGATTTAGGAGAAAGATAGAGAGATTGAGGATATAATTGTTGTGTAGACTATGTTGTCTTACACTCTCTTATTTATAATAAACTGATATTATGAGAATTATAATATTACCCTACATTATTAATAATATAAATAAGAACTCTAAAACTCCTCCTCAGGCTAGAGTATAAAGATAAAAAATGTCCAACTTTAAACAAAGATAATTGATGACAGATTGAGCCAATAGTTTTGTAAGGATGTCACCCAGTTGATTACTAGACTTGATGTATGGTGTAATAATATCCTTCCACATCATGAGAACTCGAATAAAATGGTAATCCACTTCATGTATTCAGTCCTCCCATGGAATACCGGATTGCTAGCAATGAAAATAGCTATTTGGTTATCACAATACATCTCTATAGGAAAGGGCACACTAATACCCATATCAAGAAATAGTGAAGGAACTCACAACATCTCACACAAAATGAGCCATGGCTCGGTACTCAGCCTCTACAGTCAAACGTGCAACAACATTTTGTCACATTCTATTTCTTGCTACGTCAAGTAACAAGATTATCACCAATAAATGTATAGTAACCTGAAGTAGATTATTTATTAGTACGACTAGCTGTCCAGCATCAGAAAAACCAGAAACAATCATGAAGGATGAAGAATGAAGAATGATACGATAATCATTTACCCGGTGCTCTTTTCAAAAACTGAAGTATATGAAAAATAACCTCCCAATGAGGCTTTGAGGAACATGCATAATTGACTAACCACACCAACATCATAGGTAATATCATAACGTGTAATTGTAAGCCAAATCAGCTTACCAACCTACCTTCGATAACACCATACATCATCAAAACTTTACCACTTTCAACATCCAACTTAACCGTGGGGTCCATGGGAGTATCAACGAGATATGCACCAAGAGTATCACTTTCAGACAACAAATCTAATGCATACTTCCGTTGGCACAAACTAATACATTCTTTTGATTGAGAAACTTCAATTCCAAAAAAAAAAAAAAGAAGACCTAGGTCTTTGGTATAAAACTGCTTTCCCAATGAATCTTAAAGTGCGCAATACCATCTAAGTCATCATCTCTAATAATAATATCATCAATATATACAATAATAATAATAATAATAACACCTGTAGAACGACAACGACTAAAAACTGAATGGTCTAAAGTAGAACACTAAAAATATAACTAAAATACAACAGTACTGAACTTATCAAAACAAGCACGTGGTGATTGTTTCAAACCATATAGTGTTTTCTTCAGACAACATACTAGTTGTTCCTTATCTGATACAACATAACTTGGAGGCTATATCATATATACCTCTTCCAACAGCTGTCCATGTAAAAAAGCATTCTTGATGTCCAGTTGATACAACGGCCAATCACAACTCACTACAAATGAAATAAGGACTCTAACAAAGTTAGGACATACAACAAGAGAGAAAGTCTCACAATAATCCACACTATATGTCTAGGTATAGCCTTTGACAACCAAACGGGCCTTCAAACGCTCAACGAAACCATCAAAATGATACTTCACTGTATAAATCCAATAACAACTGACAAGTTGTATACCAAAAGGAAGAGTAGTAAAGGCGCATGTCTGATTCTCATTATGGGCTTTCATTTTTTGTATTCATAGATCAACAAAAGGATGGCGAAAGCCGATGTCAAGAAATAAAATTAGAAATGGAATGCTTTGTACAATTACGGTTACTTTTCCTTAATGCAATAGGCAAATCAGAAAACGATGAACTAGCTAACGAAGCAATGGGTAGGACCTCAGTAGAATCAAGTAATGACTATGAAGCTATAAAGTATGGAACTACCTGTCTGTCCGTGGAGCAATTATACACCTATAAGGGAGGAGAAGGAATAGGGGAGGAAAAAGGTACAGGGCTGGGACAATACGTAACAAGGACTCCCACTAATTGGGAAAGATTAAATTTGGAAAAAGAGTATGTCCAAAAGCAACGAAGAAGGCAGATGACTCAAAAAAAAAAACATCAGCACTAACATAGTATTGTCGAGAAAGAGGATCATAACATCGACAACCCTTCTGAGTCCGAGAATATTCCAAAAAAATACGAAATTTTATCCCAATCTGAACCAAGAAGATGATCAAATGAAACACAACTAAAGACACAAGGAATGAGTCCAAATGGTGGTTTCTTAGGATAAAGTAACGAGAACAGAGATTTTTCTCCAAAATGGAGAAAGACATATGATTAATAAGATAGATTGAAGTAAGGACAACATCAGCCCAATATGGTTTTAGCACATGCGTGTAAAACATCAAGGTGTGGGCAACAACTAACATATGATGATGTTTACGTTCGACAATGTCATTTTGTTAGGAGGTATAAGGAGAACTAGTTTGATGGATAATGCTATGGTCTGCACAAAAAAATTTCATAATTGATTGAATATACTCAATTACATTACCAAACCGAAGAACTTTAATATGTTTATCAAACTGAACCAAAATTTTATTATAAATAGTGGCAAAGACCTTAGGCAATTCAAATAGATCTTTCATAAAAAATAATCAAGTCATACAAGAGAAATCATCAACAAATATGACAAAATATTAAAAACCCGAAATACTTTTGACTCTTGTAGGACCCCAAATGTCGGTATAAACAACATGAAATGGACTGGCCTGACGACTTGAAGAGCTAGGGCGAAAGAAACTATGGTGATGCTTACCAAAGTGACAAGCCTCACACTCTAGCACAGAAAAAGAACTCAAACCACGTATAACTTGACTTAACTTTTGTAAGGAAGGATGACTCAGTCAGAAGTGCCATTGAAGAGGTGACACTGTAGCACTCAAAGACTGAACAGAACTACCAAGAGCTAAGTAGTACAGGCTATTACTCTCATTCCCTAAACCAATCAACTTCTTCGTCTTGAGGTCCTAAACAACACAAGAGAATGAAGAAGATATTACAGAACACTGTAATTACTTAGTTAATTGACTCACATATAACAAGTTAAAGAGAAAATTAGGAAAAACCAAATCAAAGGTTAATGACATAGACCGAATAAGATAAAAATAGTCAGTCCCATGTAGTGGTAAAAACAATAATTAACTAACACAATCCGTTAGTTAGACGAACAAAAATTAAAGAATAGGGAAGAATTACTAGACATATGAGCACTATCTTCTAAATCAATAATCCAAGATTACAGAGAAGGTGGAACAACTATACATGCAAAGTTACCTTCATTAGTAAGATTGGTAGTAGGAACAGATAAATATGTCGAAAGAGAAGATAACTATTTGATGAGCTAACGAAACTGAGAAGATAGATTTTCATGAGAATCAATAGTAGATGCAACTGGACCATTAGTAGACGTATGATGTAATGAAGGATCACTAGAAGCTTGATTACAATTTGCGCGTCTCCCATATTTATCCTAGCAATAAGTCTCAGTATGTCCAGTGCCACCACAATAAGTACACTTCCATTTAGATCGATGACAATGACCAAAACGACTGCCACAACTTACATTATAGAACGAATTAGGACTACCACCGCAAACACAACCATTACGATCATTCAAAGTCTCCATAAAAAATTCATAATTAATTATCCACCCAAAATCTTGCAACACCACCAACAACTTACTCAAATAGAACCAAACAACTCAAATCACAATCAAACTATTGGAAAAAAAAACAAGGCGAATTGGGTTGATATTCACAAAATTGGCCTACAAAACTTTGAATCGATGCTGAAAGGCCTTGAACTGTACTAGAACCCATTGAACCAGTTTATAATGTCACTAAATCGATCTATAATGTGCTAAACTGGTCTGAAATGTGTTAAATCGGTCAATAATGACACTGAACTAAACTCGAAGGTACATCAATATGGGAGGACTATTTGGGGATGGTCTTGTTCAGAAAATAGGAGAATAAGGTGTGGCAGAGGAGGAAAATACCTAAACTGGAATGAATTGGTCTAACAGAGAGGCTTAAGCCTATGAACCGGTTGGTTTGGATAGTCAAAATTGGTCTTCAAGGGAACCATGATGCTAGACCAAGAGGCAAGACTTAAAAAAGAAAAACAGATGGG